TGCCTCCAGCACACCCCTAACATGCCCTGGCATCACCCCCTTCACACCTCTGACATACCCTCTGCAAAAACTAGATCACCCAGAAACACCCCCAGCACCTCTCTCCCCTGCACAAACAGTTGGACTGCTCAGAAACACCCCCGACCAGCGCACTCCCGTCCACTGAAGTCATTGGCGATCTGTTTGAACTTCAGTAGACTTCAAGCCAGGCCCTGCCCTCTAGCCATGTCTCATCCTGTGCCAAAGGTTTTTTGAACTCATTCTTCTCTGAACTGCAAGCGCGGTGCTTTAATCACTGGGCTATAGACTAGACTGAAGAGCAAGCTTCTCTCCATCCTACTAAAACTGAGCCACTGCACTCTGCAGTGCAACAGGAAAGGAAGGGGCTAAACTAGAACTCAGAACTTGCTGGTCTGTATTACAGCAGCCATCACACTAAGCCACATACACACTACCTAGTGTGGCTTCTCACCTGGCATATTTCTCTTCAACTGGCTGCCCAGGGACCCACTTCAGAAAGAGGACTGGAGAGAGCACTGGGGAGCATTCAACTCGTGGCCTAGTGGCTAAAGCACTGTGTAAGACAATTCCAGAGGCACAGGTTCAAAACCTACCTCCTATACATCATATAGTTTTGCCTACCTACACACTTGTGCATCTGCGCTGCACATGGAATAGGACCACAGACTGTGCTAGCAGCAAACCCAGCCGCTCCGTGGCTGGGGGAGGGGGGTGTGTCAATCTGTCTCAACATCAGTGGTCTTCAAACCAGGCCCTGCCTTCTAGCCACGTGTTTCTCCTGTCCCTTGCCTTTAACCTCATCTACAGTACAGCACAATACTGTTACAACAACCTGTTTAACCCCTAGGTTGCCTGTACAATGCTTTGCACCCTCACACGTAAGCAGTACAACTGGTAAGCAGGAACAGCTGGGCTTTTACCAGGCGAAAGCAGGTCAGTCTGGACTGGTTTGGTGCTAACATGGAAGTGGACAAGCTAAAATGGTTCAAGCAGTCCACAGTGCATTTGGAGATCTCCCGGCAGGGTGAGATCCAGGGCAATGGCTTTAAAATATGCAGGTGTGTATGCAGGGCAAACCAGCTAGGCTTTTGACACCAGCTCAGTAGGGCTAGCGTAGACACGTCAAACTGCGAGCGCTTTTCAGTCAGGCCTCTAGTGTAGCGAGAGCTTTTGATTGCTTCGTTCACTCCCAACTTCACTCCTAAGCATCCTCTAGACTTGAATCAGCCTTTTAATTAACATTCAGTCCTTTTCCTGCCTGTCTTTTGGCTCCATCCATCCTGCACTTCAGCCCCTAAGTTTGTTAATGGCCCCATATAATTCCACTGCCTCCTGCTCAGTTTAATCACTGTCTTCCCAACCTTGTCTTTAGATCATATGCTGATCACAGCAGGGATTTTTTTTTTTCCTCTTCCTAACCATGTGTATTTTTTCCCCTACTGGAAAATGGCCTGTATATCTATGGCACCCCATCAATAATAAATGTAATTGATCAGAACCAAGCACACGTAACAACGTCTCTCAGCTTGTACCCATGTCGCTCGCTGGATTGCAAAACAGCCATTAAATTCCATTGTAGCAACATGTCTACCGAGAGGAGCGAATTGTCTCCAATGCAATTTACTGCTGAGATGATTGAAAGGTTTGACACACACTGAAATCTCTGAGTTTTGTTTTGTGTTTTGTTTTTTTTTTTACAACCCAAGCTGCCGTTTCCTCTAATGATATTCATGTGATGTCTGCAAGTGACAATAGTTGTATATTCACAAGGCAGCTTTTGACCATCGGGTTTGTGTTGTTTCGTTTTGTTTTGTTTTTTCCTCATTCAAAATCTTGGTGAACTCTTCCCCCCCCCCCACTTTTTATTATACGAATCAGCCAAATAATTTAAACATGTTTTATTCTTTAATAAACTTTGTGTTCACATTTCCTGGGTATGCTGAATGCTCATTCCTCATTAAAGGTGGGGAGACCAGCATGCATGAAGCGGAGTGAGAATGGGGGCTAATGTTCTTTAATTCCAAGTCAAAGAACGTTAAGCTGGAAATAAGATGCACATTTTCAACACTGAACCTAATTAAACAGTGGAACAGATTGCCAGGGGATGTGGGAGATTTTCCATCAGGCAGAATCTTTAACTGAGGATTCTCAATGCTTTTCCACAAGATGGGCACTAATTCAGCCTCGAGCTGTAGGGCTCGATGTAGAAGCACTTGGCGAGATGCTCTGTGTAGAAAAGTGAGACCAGAATGATACCTTCTGGCCTTCACAATGTATTAATGCAGCATAATGTGCTCCATGCAGATCAGATGCATTTGCAACCCTTCCCTGACACGCAGTAACTAGAATAGCCTCCCTTGCTGTTAGTAATGCTTTCAAAGAGGAACTCACCGAAGTTGAAGCAGGCAGAAATCATCTCTACTTCCAGCATATTTCATAGGGTTCTG